TGCCGAAATATAGCGGCCTATATAGATAGTTTATTTTCATAATTAATGGAATTGTTTTACAAATTAATATGGGGTTTTTTTATTTAATATGCTAGACCTTGCTCCACATTCGACACTTGATGACGAGATCTTGTTCCGTTGCACTGGAGGCGATTTTCGAACAAATATGTGTAGTCTGATGTGTCGTTGTCCGTGCGTATGTTAATGTTCGTGTTAATGTCGAAAATCGTTGAAGAATGCCTTATATTGTTACTTTGGACTGCAAAAAAGACAGTCGCACTTGTAATATTATTTATGGTGGTGTTTATCATCGTTAAGTCTTATTTTATTTATTTCATTTAATAAAAATTTAAATTTTCTGTTTATCGTAATATTTTTTATTACAAGAAACGAAAGTAAGCCTTATACCGCTGCAATATGGTCACATCTTTTTTGGGGAACTAAGAAAACACATTTAATTCATCGTCGTTCAGCTACTAAACGCTAGATGGCAGCACATTAATTGAAATTTCAATATAAAATCAAAATGTCGTAACCTACAATATCAGTGACTTTTTGAGCTTTTAAAGATATGTCAACAGGACAAAGTTTAAACTATAAAGAGTCCAGAATTGGTTAATTCTTTTAAATTAGAAACTATGAACAATCTTTATTAAGATTTCATAGTATTTCTAATTATGAATGTGAGTTTTGGTGACCGCGTAGGTAACGGAGGCGTAAGGCATTTACATCGTTTTTTTCTTCCGTGATTCCAGACGGTTTGGGTGAAGTCAGACGAGCGTAATCTAGTGAGTTGTGAGTCGCGTTTTTTGAGTGTATAAATTTACGCTGTATTCCGTTTCATATTTAAAAGTCGGATTTGTGCTACGCAAAGACGCAAAATGTTGTCTGCAGACCCACGGGCGCTATTATGACCGAACTTTGGAAAGAGGGGTAAGGGAAACATTTATTAGCAAGTGATAGTATTTTACAAATCGATCTGAATATTCACCTAAACTTTCATGTTAGGGACCACACTTAAATCTTTCCATATTGAGTAGGTGTATCCAGCTTCTGTTTCTTATTCTAACATCATCCACTGATCCACTACATTATATTACGTGAATAAAAAATATGGATTAGTCAACATAGGACCTATTCACAAATCGACTTCTAAAAATGGTTTATTATTTAGTAAAACAAAGTATATTTTTAACACACTTTCGAGTATCTACACAATTATAAACATTTATTTTATAAATCATGTGTTTTAATTAATATATTTTGTGTGTGAAATGTGAAAGAGAATCCTTAATCTATTTCAAGTCCAAACACGACTTTATTTAGTACGCAGTAGACCCCAAGTAGCAATTCGCGATTGTGAATGATTTCGATATTCGATTCGTTAGCGATTACGCTAATCCTGTCATTCGAATGTCAAATTAGTAATCTACTAATTTTCGTATTCGAATGATTTGAATGATCATTCATTACTAATTAGTAATACTAATCCATAGATTCCCTAGAGCATTTCTGCTCGTCACCGATCACCTAGCCCTCTCTGACATAATCGTAAATACTGTATATGTGACGGGGACAGGGATATTTTGGTATGGACATGATGAATGAGGTGTTCCGATATAATAATCACTCGACTCGTGCACCCGACCGAATGGTATTGGCGTTCGGTATTTTTAATCATTCGACTCGAGCCGAATGATTGTGCTTGGATTCGACTTAGGCGAACGATTTGGATACGAATGATTAGTATTAGTAACATTCAAAGTCACGCGTCGCTAACCCCAAGACCATAAAGTTGGGTCCCACTTTATTAACGCAGGATAGGTCAGCTCAAGGGTTACAGTTAATTTGATAAATTTCTGTCAATCGAATTTTTTATACCACTCGACTCGAAAAGCGTAGGTAGAACAGTATTGTTACATAAAGGAATGACAAAAACGTAATAATTTAATAAAAAATTAATTCTAATGAATTTTATTATAAAAAAAAAAAAACAAAAAAATAATTATCCATATTTTAGGATAAATACTCAGTAAAAACGGATAGTTATCCTTAGACGGATATTTATCGGGTAAAAACCCATCTCTATGACAACAGCAGAGCAGGCTAAGGCTCAACTCACACTGGCGCAGAGTCGAAGCGTCGCGACGCGTCATGTTGTTCGCCTACAATATAAGGTATAAATTTGAGTTCTGCAAATATGGAATCGACTGTCGACGCTTGGTAGCATTCGAGCGGTTTCGCGCGTCTCTTGGGCGCCGGTGAGACGTCAGACACCGACCACACTGTGATCCCGGCACACTAATGCGAGCGTCGATCGAGCGGTGTAGTTGAAAAACAGTTTCTACTCTGCGCCAGTGTGAGTTGAGCCTAACACAAAAACACAATCGAGCAAGCCGAGCCTGCCCGAACGAACAACTTTTGTAATCGTGAAAAGTCGGCAGAAATCACGCTACACCACTGTCCCCAAGGCGTCTTAGGCTAGTAACATGCCGTAGCTTTGTTTTTGTAGCTACGACCATAGCATATAACATAGCATATAATATAATATATATGATAATATAGCGTTAAGGCATATTACCTTTCGTCACCTAAAAATCTTCTGCTTGGCCGCATTGGCGCCGGGCCTAAGTGTATCAAAGAGATTTGGAATATTGAATAATACAAAAACATAAATTATTTCATTTTTATTCCATTTTTGGACTTTACACAATTATTACAATATGGCATGATATTATAATTATTTTACAATAACAATAATGACCAGAGATCGACACAGACAGAGATTATTTACCTAAAGTTTGATTATACATATACACAAAGCGGATAATACCTCCCGCTGAAATTGCGCAATGTTTACAATAATAATAATATTTATTTATTTCCACTCACAAAAGCAGCTTAAGAGCTAAATAAATGTATACACATACATACATAATGGGACATAATGTTTTTAACCGCCTTCAAAAAAAGGAGGTTTTCTTTTTATTTGTCTTACGCGATAACTCCAGCATTTGTGAACCGATTTTGATGATTCTTTTTTTGAATTGGAAGAAAATATTCCAACTCTAAGGGTGGCAAACTAGGGGATAAATGACCTTTGAGGTCGGTCTTGTCAGTACTCTATACTAAGATTACGTGATATCGACTACTTAAGTGACTTGCGCCCAGGATAGGATTTTTTTTTAATTAAAAAATAAGAGCGCGTTTACCTCCATCTCACTTGATGGAAAGCGATGATGAAGTCGACGATACCTCGCCTTGAAAAGGTCCAAGTTATACCGATCAGGGAACAAGTCTACTGGCAGGGAATTCCACTCCATAGCTGTTCAGCACACAAAATTTGGATGCGAAGCGCTTGGAATATACACAACATAGGGGTGGAACCCCAGCCTACGTCTGATCCCCCGATGATGCAAAGGTGAAAGCGGAATAAATTCATGCAATCCCCTAACAAGTTTCAAATAATACCTAGGTTTAAAAAACCTGTGTTACCGGTCGCCAAACTCTCGTACAAGAAAAACTGTTTTTACTAATGTGATAAAAATTTTATAACTTAATTAATTGATTTATTTAATAAAAAAGCAAAAATAGTTATATTTTTACTTTCAATCAAAAACTTGTAAACACCATCAAATAGTTATTGCTAGTTACACATAAAAAATGTAGCACAATAATTCCAGGTTATCAGAGGGAGGTATTATTCACTCTAGTGTGTTACTTCCTTGAACTTTAGATAAATATACTCTGCCTATAAAAATAGGATAGTCTTTAGAGATCAGAATCTCTTGAGGATATCTTAACATTAAAATTATCCCTCCAATTCATCATACCACTAAGCAAACCACTAGTAATATGGTGGGTATTTTTGAAGTCCGTACCGTACTACCAAATCGTAGTGCGATAATAGTATGGTAACCATGAGTAAAACAATTTATATAGAATGATTAAGTTTCCTGTAATGCAAGGACCCTGTGTATTTATATACAAGTTTTTGTCCTTCTTATATATACAGTGTTTTTTAAATTATAAAATCATGAACAGTTATGGAATGAAATACGAGTATCCTTATATAAATTGTTGGTGTGTGTGCGTGTGTGTGTGTGTGTGTGTGTGAGTGTGTATGCGTGTGCGTGACAGCATTGCCTGTGCAAAAGTGCACCTTTTTAAATGGCACAGTATAGGGAAATCTGAAACCAATTGTATGAATTTTTTTTATTACATTTGATCTTCTGTAATGCGATTTACATAATCAAACCATTATGATATTGTAGCGATTTACTTGTTGAACTGCTTTTTCGTACTCACATGGGACAGGCGAACTTCAACAAGTCCTATTTTAAAATTGATCAATCCCAATGTCGTTGAAGCGTATTCTGGTATATAAATCGTACTTAAATCGATTCTAAATGTTAAGCCATACATAGTCTGCTAAAATTTTGACAGTTCTTTCTATGACTAAATGTCAAATTTCACAATCCAAGATGTTGTTCATTATTTACATTACATTTCGAATTTATTCCTATCAATGTTCATTCAATTGATACATGAATACCAATTTTGGATAGGTCTTCGATCGAATGACTACGTAACTTCAACAATATTTTGATAGCTTAAACTTAAACTACAGCTCTCCCAATTTTTTTCTTTCTTTACAATGAAGTCATATGAAATTCTATTAGCATTAATAAATTAGTCAATTTTATTAATTTTGTAAGAAAAAATTTTTAACAAACTTTACTTACCATCCTCTAAGAATTTTAGCAACTTCCTGCTTGTACTGAAGCTTTTTTTATTAATAAGAGTTTTACCTTGGATACAAGTCTTTTGAGCCACGTGTTCGTTTATCGAGATCCTCAACATGTCAGGTCTCTTAAAAATAGACTTTAAAAAAACATTGACTCGACCAGAGATCGAATCCGGGACCTCAGAAACGGCAACACCGCAAAAACCGGTGTAAAAACCACTCGACCATGGAGGTCGTCAAAGTTAATGAGGAGAACAATAACATGTGAGGCAAGTTTTTCAGACCTAATGTTTTACTAAACTTCTACAAATCAGCCATCCTAGCTTCACTAACAAGGCTTTGTATTTCAAGCTGCAATTGTAGAGCTCTATGCATATCCATCTGCCTTAATTGAGAAGCAATGAATTTTCCATAAATATCAAATTCATCTTCACGTTCTGAATTCGAAACAGTTGTATATATTGATTTACCTTTTAATTTTTTCCTTTTCATTCTTCTATTTGGCTTTGGGATATAATGTTTAGAGTCTGTCTGTTCTAAAATGTCTTCCACTTGTTCAAATTCAATGTGAGGAATCAAGCTACTGGTGTTTTTTACAGTGTTACCATCTTGTGTTTCTGTTAGTACCCAGATTTGGCTAGACGAGTCTGCTTGCAAGTCATTTGAATGTTGTTGAGTCTGGAATGGGAAAAAGCAAAACTTTTATTAGATAATGTAATAAAAAACTATAGTAACTTATATATAATTATAGCTACAACTCCTAAAGGTTTTTCTTGTGGTATGTTATATAAAAATAACGGAAAATTATCCAAATTTATTGTCTATTTAACTTTCTTCAAGAAAAGAGGAAAAATATTACTTACAGGTTGAAAAAAACGCGGTATGATAACATTTTTTAAGCACTTGTCCATTTCCGGGAACCAAACTAGAGATGGCTCGTAAATATGATCGGGACTGGACTTATTCAAAACTTTCCGCATTTCTTGCGCATATGTCGTCCGTAGATTCTTTATTTTTATTTTTGCTTGCGGTATGGATAGACTTGCTCCCCCAGAAGCTTTAAATTCGGAAATTATTTTAAGATACGCAGACACTCTTTCGGACTTATTTTTATAACACGAATGCAATGGATTCCAAAGGCATTCTTGCTTCAGATAAATTTTAACAAACTGTAATGTGAGAGTTTCACCCCAACGCATTTTATAAGTTTTATTAACAACTATAAAATTTCCGTGTAAACATGACAAGAAGCAGAACATATGATTACGAAAAAAAAAAACAGAACGAGTGAACGAAATTGTTGACTTTTGTAATAATCATTGCTATTTTAAAATCCTCGAAAACCAACGAGTGTGTAAAATAGTAACTATTCAAAGAAGGAAGCAACTATAGTCGTCACAAAATAATAGATCATATTTGACACATGTCATCGCAACGTAAATAGTGATGTGAACTGCAATATCGGTAACCAGTTTAAACGATTCTCACGAGAAATCGATTAAAAATTTTAGGAGTTTGTAATCGTTTAGGTTATTTTTCTGTTCATTGCTTTTCAGTTCTAGATATATCAATCAACATTTATTTAAACGTTATACAGTTTAATAGAAATAATAAGTAAGTATTTTAAGTGAGCACAACGGCAACCTGTACTTGTTGTTGTATTGTAGTTATACATTAGCATAGTTCACGAGGATAACCTGTACGTAAATAACAAAATTCTGAAGTAAAACAAAAGACCTCCTTATTGGAATTTTTTATTTATCAACGTCATCGGAAGATGAACCAAAACCATCTGTTGAGCTAGTTTCACCAGTCCATATAATTAACTCGTTTTCAATTAAATTATCAATATTAACATCTCTGTCAAAATCTTCTTTTATTAGTTTTCTAGTTTTTTCCACCACCTTTCTCCAGTCTTCCTTTGTTACTTTAGTACATGCTTCCTTTAATAAAGTCATCATTTTTTTTGTGGAGAACGGTGGCTTAGTATTATTACGTCCTGCGTAGCCTGTAAAAAAAAAACACTGTTGTAAAATAGTAATGTTCCTTCACAGTGATATTACAAATTCGAAAGTTTATATGTTACCTCTTTACATTTGTACTTTATTAAAATATGCTACTAGTACAAAATAAGTCTTAATATATACGAATTTAAAATAACAGTATTAAATGCAAAAATATTAACCTTTAATTTGAGCCCAAATCAACTCAATAGCATTGTATTGACAGTGGTACGGCGGTGTCCTTATAATTTTATGTCCATGCTCAAGTGCCAATTCATCAATTTCATACCTAAGTTTTGTAGGTCTATGCTCTCGCACTAATCTTAACAATTCCACTTTCAATAGCTCCATGTCAGCTTCGACACCATTCCTCTGTAGCCATGCCACCAAATCAGCCTTTTTATTTGCCTGAGTCGGCGCTCGATCTATTTGAACCGAATGATACGATGCATTGTCCATAATTATTGTACATTGTTCGGGGAGGTTCTGAAGTAAAGTTTTAAACCACTCTTTAAATTTGTTTGCGTCCATTTCTTCGTGATATTCTTTTGTACTTTTTGATTCAAATGCTAGTAAAGCATTATTAACGAAACCTCCCCCGGCTGATCCAGCATGGCAAATTATGAGGCGACCACCTTTTCCCATTGGCACTTTCGAGCTGGATGCTTTAGTGTCGTCGGTCCATGATTGTGGTACTGTGTGGTTTGAGTTCAACCAAGTCTCATCGATAAACACAACATTATCCCAATTTGTAATTTTATTCATTTCTCTCAAAAATGAAACTCTTTGTAATATTAAATCATGTCTTTCCATCATAATATTTCTTTTGTCAGACTTCTTGTATTTAAAACCAATTTTTTTCAAAATTGTAATCAGTGAGGTAGCACTCCCAGTAAATAAGCCAAGCTCTCGAAGTGATACCAACAATTTACTCACAGTAGGGTACTCGTGTCTAGTATAATATGTATAAACATGGTTACGAATAGCGTCTGCATCGAACGTGTCGATACCTGTTACAGGCTTGCTTTTCTTCCTCTTTCTAGGCGTATGTAATACGTTTTCTTGAGAGCCGGAAGGCCCATATTTTTCTTGTATGATGGTGTGTACCGTTCTTTTGCCGATTCCAAGTGCACTTGCGACGCGATTTTGCACTTGTGTCACTGGTAATAGAGGTCCACCATTAAGTGACTCCCTTTCGAAATAGTCGTGTAATTTCACAACCAGTTCGCGAGTCTGGCTATTTAAAGCACGTCCTCTTTTCGACATGTTGAAAAAGAGTTCACACAGAATCAAGTCCAAAATATCCAAGCCAAGGTCAACGAGATTGAAAATAGAAGTAGTCCAAAAGCACAGCCGAGTCACAAGAAAAAACACCACGAATAACCAAGCGTACAGTCAACTTCCAAGACGGCGAAAGACTGCGCGGGCGCCGATGCAGAGTGACGCTAAATCGACATCAGTGTTGCCGTTTCAGAATTTGCGATAAAGAAAAGGAAATACAAATCTGACTTTACGGTTCTGTCTACTATAAATACTAGTATACTCAGTCTAATTTTGTAAGCACTTTAAAATTTTTGTTTTTGTAATTAAATAAGTCATTTTTTTAAGTGAAACCGATTTGACTCGATGATAGTCGGCGCGTATTGGTTACAACATTATTATTAAAAAGAATTATTTCTTTGTAGACTGAAGATGTAACTGTTTATAAGACGTTTCGGAGTAACCCAAAATTGGATTTTATTTTGGAATTCCTGCGAAAATAATACTTGAAATATGTTTCTTTCATAATGTATAGACCTTCAATAAAATTTATGTATTTTTTTAAAACCCAATAAGTTATTAATTGCTTATTTACTGTTTCGTTGATTGCATTCAACGTTACATACTATCGACTGGTTTAGCTGTCAAATATGATCTATTATTTTGTGACGACTTTAGTAATTAAATAAGTCATTTTTTTTAAAGTGAAACCGATTTGACTCGATGATAGTCGGCGCTTATTGGTTACAACACTATTATTAAAAAGAATTAGACTGAAGATGTAACTGTTTATAAGACGTTTCGGAGTAACTCAAAATTGGATTTTATTTTGGAATTCCTGCGAAAATAATACTTGAAATATGTTTCTTTCATAACGTATAGACCTTCAATAAAATTTATGTATTTTTTTAAAACCCAATAAGTTATTAATTGCTTATTTACTGTTTCGTTGATTGCATTCAAAGTTACATACTATCGACTGGTTTAGCTGTCAAATATGATCTATTATTTTGTGACGACTATAATGATAAATCATTATGAACAATGATTTTATATATATGATTAAGAATAAGTGCTTTTAATAGAATTAATTTATTTAATGTATTATACACAATACTTGTGCAAAGCTTGTGCACAATGTTACTTTCATCTTGTAACCTCATTTTGGCAACATTTGTAGATAAATCGATAAAAAAAAACAAGATCAAGATCATTCTTTCTTTTTCCATTCCAGTTTCCAATCCATCCATTCCATCACAAACTATTTGGTATCTTCAGTGCCACTCTTGCCACTGTGGTTTGGCCATACTAAAGCTCAGTGTAGGTCTAAACCCAGATGCTTCAGATGCACCAAAGACCACTCTGGTGATTCTTGTCAAGTGGTAGAGAATGAAGTTACATGCTAGCACTACTCCTGACGTCATTTTGCCACAAGCAAAAACTACCCGGAACTGGACAGACAAAAATCGATCAAGACCGTTACGGCACTAAAAAGCATTTCATATGAAGAGACAGCTGCACAATTCCCAAGAGTTACTACACCTTATGCTGAAGTGTCTCAAGAAACACCCGTCCACAAGAACCCAAGTGCCCCAACATTCAAGTCATGATCATCAAAATCGGTCTTATGCCAAGACCGTATATTCCTCTCCTCGTCTTAGAACTCCCTTGGGGAAGTCTTATGACAAGTCTGTACACAACAAAATTATAGCCTCTCCAAACTCCTCACTCCCAAATAGTTGTGCCTTAAGTCACAATCAATCATCCTCTCCCAATGAAATGATGGAAATCCTTACCTCCTTCCTGATAAACCTTATTTCCTCGAACTCCATCCCATTACCGTCCAACGTTGCCGATAAACTATCACAATTAGTCTCCTTATCCTCTTCCCATTATGAACCAGCTGTCCATACTGCAATGGAACACCCAGAGGATACGACAGAAGAAACATGAGCTGGTTCACTTAATTAACCATCACCACCCATCAATCATTACCGTCTCTGAGACATGGCTGGTTCCCGGCTCTCATTTTAGAGTCCCGGGATTCTCCTGTCTTCGGGATGACAGAGCTAATGGGTACGCAGGTAGTGCTATTTTGATTAAGTGCTCCCTTCCTTTTTCCCAAATTCACCTCCCTTTCCATCCCCCTGATATCAACATTGTTGGTGTAAGATCCTTTGATGTATCTTTTATTTCTATTTATATTCCCCGTCCCAACTCCTCATTAATCCCAGACATCCTTTTCCTTCTGTCAGCAGTTCCTTCCCCGATGGTGATTATGGGAGACTTTAATGCCCATCACTCCACATGGGGATCATGTTTCACAAGAGAAATAAGCAATAGACTATATGCTCTTTCCCTACTGGAAGTATTCAACGAGTGCAATCTATGCATTCTTAATGATGGCTCCCCTACTCGTAGAGTTTATCCCTCTCAGAATCAGAAAAGTGCTGTTGACATCTCTCTTTGTTCCCCATCTCTCTCTTCGCTTATCTCTTGGAAAGTTCTTACTTCCGCATATGGTCACAGTATGGTGGTATGATCATTTCCCTAACGTCTTGTCTATCCCTAGTAGATTAATTCCCTCCAGTAACCCAGCCCCTTTATTAAAATACAAAATGTCAGGAGCTGACTGGCCTTCATATTCTTACTCTCTAGAGACAGCTCTAAAGACCTTATCGATTTTTCCATTAGATACCGACCCGCTTTCCTCCTATAACATTTTTGTGGACTGTTACTGCTTCTGCTGATCGGCAAATTCCCATGAAGAAGTCTGCTAGAGGATTCAAAGTGTCAACTCCGTGGTGGAATTCAAAATGCTCGGAGGCTGTTGTAGAGCGACGACAGGCAGAGCGGAACTACAACTCCTCTATGACTCAGGCAAATTTTATGGCTTATCAAAAATCATCAGCCAAATTTTAAAAACTTACCCAAAAAAGGAAAAGGAATAACTGGATAGGTTTTTGCGAATGTCTGTCCCCAAAGACCCCTCCTTCTCTCGTCTGGAGACAGATAAGGCGATTTAGGGGTACATGTAATGCAGTCGATATACCAGCCAACGACCCTATATCATGGCTAGAGGTCTTTCCGGACAGGCTCGCTCCCTCCTCAGTTCCTGATTTTCACTCCATTCCTTCTCCTCCATCCTACGTCCCTTCTCAATCTACTATGGATCATCCTTTCTCCATGAACAAACTATATTTTGTATTGAACGGACTTACTGACTCATCCCCTCGTATCGACGGTATCCCCTACTCCTTCATCACCAACTCCTCTCCTTTACCAAACCAAATTTTCCTTAATATCCTAAATTACTTCTTTGATTATGGTTCAGTCCCAGCCCAATGGAAAACACAAATAATTATTCCTATCCTTAAACCTGGCAAGGATCCTTCAGATCCTAGCAGTCACAGACACATTGCTCTCTCCCCCACCCCTGCCAAGATTATGGAACATCTGATAAAACAAAGGCTCCAATGGCTAGTTGAGAACAGGGACGTCCTATCTAAAACACAGTTTGGTTTTAGGAAGGGCTTCAGCACGATGGACAATCTCAGTTTGCTAACGACTGAAATCCATACTGCTATCAAGGAAACGAAATTCCTTGTTGGGGTGTTCCTCGATATCGCCTCAGCATATGACAACGTCTTGCTTTCGGTACACAGGTGAAAACTCACCCAGCTGAGTATTCCTAAAAAGCTCGTGCATTTTATTTCCAACCTTTCAATGGAGCGCCGTGTGGTAGTAAAATCTTGCCTAAATCTCCTGTCCCCGAAAACCGTTTGGAAAGGTCTCCCCCAAGGATCTGTATTAAGACCATTGCTCTATAGTATCTATACTTACGACCTGGAGTCATCTGTCAATTCATTCTGCGACGTTCTCCAATATGCTGATAACCTGGCTCTATACATTAAAGTAGGTACTATAGAACAGGCAGAAAGTCGATTGAACTCGGCTCTGTCATACCTAAATGACTGGTTATTTGAGCATGGCATATCCCTCTCCCCTTCCAAAAGTTGTACCATAATCTTCTCCAGGAAAAGAATTGTCCCTACGATTGAAATACGCATAGGTCAAGAAATCGTTCCACAATTAAATTCAGCATCATCTCAATCATTTAGGTATCATGCTAGACTCCAGAATGTCCGGTATCCCTCATTTCGATCATGTAGCATCTAAATGTGAAAAAATATTAACATTCTGCGGTCCCTTTCATGAGTGTGGTGGGGCTCTCATCCGTGCTCCCAAAAACTTTTGTATAATGCTATAGTTCGCAGCCATATGGATTATAGATCTTTTCTCTTTAATCTTGCTAATAAATCTGGAAAAAATAAAATTGCAAAAATTCAAGCCAAATCTCTGCGAATTATTTTAGGATCCATGAAGTCCTCGCCCATCAATGCTATGCAAGTTGAATGCGAGGAGCCTCCCCTGAATATTCGCAGACAGTTTCTTTCGGAAAGATTTCTTTTTAAACTGCTACAAAATTCAAACCACCCCATTCGTCCTAAATTAAATCTTCTCTTAGACTTATTCGATTCTCGGAACATGGACAATAAACCCTGCCTCCTTCAGAGCTTTATTAAATTCACCCAACTCCCTCCCCCCACTCAATCAGTTTCCTCCCAATCCTCTTTATTGTACTTCCTATGAAGCTCTTGTTTTCCATTCCAACATTCTCCTTCACTTTGACTTAGAGAAGGACTCCGTTGACCCATAGGATCTCTTCCGACTGTTCCGGATGGCGCTGCATATTTATTGATGCTTCAAAGCTTTCAGCAGTAAGTTCCGTAAGAGCAGCAGTATGGATCCTTTCTTCTAAGATGATAGGTTTAAGCTTCAGATGCTCATCCTACTCTTCTGTATTTACTGGTGAAGCAATCGCCTTACTGGAAGCAATTCTCTATGTCGAGTCTCCTAAACTCAATAATTCCATCATATTTACTGATTCCAAAAGTTGCCTTCAATCCTTCCTATCAAACCCTTTCCACTCTTCCTTCCGGTTCCCAGTTATACTTAAAATTAAACAAGTCCTGTTTGTTGTTACAAGCAAGGTGTAAACGTGGTGCTAGCTTGGATACTTGGACATATTGGAATCCCAGGCAATGAGACGGTAGACTCCTGTGCCAAATTGGCTTCCCGCATAGGTTCAACTGAACACTCCAATTTGTACTCCCACGACCTTTGCCTACTCCCAGAATCCCTTCTTCGTGATCGTTGGTCTAAGTATTGGGAGATATCCCAAAAAGAAAACGGCAAATATTATGCGGACGTCCAACCCCAAATTCCTACAACACCAACAACGTCAATAATATGCCGGCTTCGCTTAGGTCACGCGTGTACTCCTATTCATTTGGCTAAACTTAGGATAAACGATAACTCATTGTGTGAATGTGAATGCGGTCTAGACGAAGGAAACGTGGACCATATATTTTTTTGACTGCCCTAAATTACGGTATTCCCTTTATGACATCCTCCCTCCCTCTATCCCTCGTACTACTTCCTTTAAATGCCTTTTGGCCCTATCCTCTCACCCAAAAATGTATCATATTCTTTTTAATTAATATATGTAAATCATATTAAACTGTAAATATTATTCATGCACTAACACTATATTTAACATATATACATGTTTCTAACGACTTGTGTTGTCTAATTTGTGCCGTCTCTTTTGTTCTAGAATTCAATTTGTGCAAAAATCTCTTCGATTCTCCCTCTGAGTCACCGAACAAAATTTTAACACACCCTCCATATATAACGTTTATGAAACTAGAAAACGGACACTGGCAGAATTGAGACCTAGTAGTCTCACAAGCCATTCATTAAGAAAAAAAGAAAAGATATAGTAGGGGTAGCGGTGTTATGAAAAATTTAATTCAAGAAAAATAAATTTAACTGAAATACTTTAAACATGAGGTGGAGCGAGAACGAGACCTGTATATTTGTGAAACTATACCTCAGTCACAGATGTTTGTGGGATACTGAACATGAAGATAACAAATCCAAGTTTCATAGGGAGCAAGCATACAAAGACATGATTTCCAAATTTCACGCTTTAACCAACATGGAACTGGATACGAATTACGTTAGAATGAAGATAAGGGCAATAAGGTCTACGTATTCGCAGGAGCTTGCGAAAATTCGAGATAGATCAACCTCGGAACGCAGGTTCAAACCTAGTCTTAAATGGTTTAATGTTATGCACAAATATTTGTCGAACAAAGGTGGAAAACCTAAAGAGGAGTTTCTTTCTGGCGACGATGTAAGTTTTCCCTTTTTTTTTTGACAAACGCCTAATATTGCCGCTTAACATCAGGGGAGATTATGTCCGTCTATTTAGTTTTTGGTGAGCAAAGGCCTGTCCTCTCGAGTTCCACAGCTCCCGGTTTCAGGCAACGTCAAGCCAGTCATATGCATTGAAGTGTTTTCACGCTGGCCTATTCCACTAGTCCCTACCAGCTGTCTCTCCTGGTGGGGCCAAGTGGAATTTTTTTCCACTCTTCCACCGTTACTGGTTCGGATAAGTGGAATTGCTATCTCTTATCTTGCTCTCCTCGTCGCTGGCCGTTTTAGGGCGTCGACTAGGTGGCTGTGTGAGCCCAATAATGTGGACGCATTATTTATTTTTGCATCTATTTAACATTTAAAAAAATTAAGTGAATTTGAATTTAGAAATTTCATTATTAAAATTCCTGCTCTAGAGATAGGGTCATGATTCACAGACCTTTTTATAGAGCAGAATAATGCTGAAAAAATCATGTACTCTTTTAGGTAATTTGAAGTACAGTTTGATATTCATTTATTTATAGCCTTTATTGCTGATAACTTACATACTATCTCTTTATTTATATATCTATTATTATTATATTACTTATTTATTACTAAAAATTTTTAACTCAGTACCTTCAGCTAGCCCTAAGACATGAGCCTTCTAAAGATCCAACTTCATTTTTGCTGTTTTATTACATCTATGACTTTTCTAGTCTTTGATTTGTTTTTAATTGTGGTTAGTTTTACTTTATCTGTCAATTTTATGTTAAGCACATGTCTTTCCATACTATTCTGACAAACATCAAGTTTTTTGTAATGTTTTTTAATAAGCGACCACATCCATATGCGGTTACCGGTACAATGCACATATTTATTACTTTGAATTTCTATTTTGTATCAATTCTTTTATTTCAGGGTATCTTTGAGTGATCAGGATTTCCTCCACGAATTTATGACTCTTCTTTCGATTTCTTTGTCTCTTCGGTCCTTTTGTCGATATTATTTGGCCAAGTATTCGTCCACATATTCAATTTTATTTCCATTTATCGCAACCTTTTCTTTAATATTGTTTGTCACCAATTTCGTTTTGCTGGTGTTCATAGGGAGTCCTACTTTTTGCTTTCCTTATTGTTCGTACCGTTTGTATCATTTTTGGGCCAAGTGGAGAAAATCATCTGCGAATCTCACATGGTCAAGATGTACTCCATCTATGCTCATGCCATATTCCTCCCAAACTAAATATACTCTAAATATACTTTCCAATATAATAGAATATTTTAACAATACGATAGAGGATCCCCCTGACGGACCGTTTCTGATTTGGAATTCTCCTGTAGTCTCTAGCTGTATTTTTGCTTTACTCTTTTTGTATATTTGTTGGACTAGTCTTATATATTTCTTTTGTACTCCTTGTTCACTGAGAGATTCCCTTGACATAGTTAATTAAAATGAACATTCTTACAGCAGCAAGACACTGGAGAAGAAGACTCATCACAAAAAGTTTGGGTTACTGAAGAAGCAGACACATTGGACGACAATGATGATGCCGACAAAGATCCCTTCATAACGCAAGCAGAAGAAGACTATATCCTACTACTTAAGTCGGAACCAAAGGAGGATAGTGCAGAACAGAAAGAAACAAAATATAGACAAAAGAAACGCAAATTCAAACATCGTAGCACAAGCTCAGATATTTCCGAGCCAGGCAGTCGTTCTGTGCTTAGTTATGAGTCACAAAAGGAAGATGAATTTGATATATATGGTAAATACATAGCATCACAGCTACGAGGCATGGATATACAAAGAGCATTGCGTGTACAGCTCCAAATTCAACGCCTTGTTAGTGATGCTCGAATGGAACAGTTGTCTAGTGGTCACTGATATTTGATTTCACTATTGAAGGTTTGGTATTGATTCAAAGAATTTATTAAGAATGGCTTCCCGGAATAGCCTCTGCTCGACCACATTCATTTAATAATTTTCTGCCCCAACAATGTGAGTCGGAGAAAAATTCTCATTTCTGATCAGTCTTAATTTTTAAGAAAAATGAATATTCTTTATTCGTCCCGTATTCTCCCATTTTCTTTCGTATAATTTTATTTCTTTCTCCATCCTCCATGATAATTTTCCACGCTGACACCGGTCAAAAGTTTGTTATTGAACGAAAACGACGCCTAACTTTGTTTTACTAAACGATTTTATTTTTTATTTCCCGCTAAATAAAACTTCCTACAACGTTTCTAAAAGAAAGAAAATAACATGAGCTCTCAAATTATATTTTTGTAATGTCATTAAAATATATATATAACCGTCATTGTGAATAAAAACCGCCGAAGTATTTTAATAACAGGCAATCTGTCTCACTACCGCTACACATGTCTCTCAACCCTGACATTGGCAAAATCGTCGCGCAAAACGACGGAGCCATAGACACAAAAGTTGAAGTTGAAGTTGAAGAATGGCTTCACATTCTTAAATGTTATAATCAATTTGGCATTGTTTTTTGTAATTTGTGGTTGTATCTGCCAGAATTCATAAAGTTCAAGGAAAATATAGAACGTAAATTATTGTAAAAATTTTAGATTTTATCAAGCATGAATGTATTTTTGATAGAGGTCCCGTACTTGGAAGTTTTTGATATTGTACATTTTAATTTGATGTCATTTGCTTGCTAAAAGTTATGCAGCAGATGCTGCTATGCAAAAAAATTTAGGTGCAATAATTGTATAATGTAAAGACAGTCTACATTAAATTGGTATTTATTGTTTTTCGTAGTAGCAAAGAGTAAATACATTTGTGGAGCATCAGAATAAAAACCGATAAGTCATATTTTGACTTTTTTGGTAAATAGTAGTTTTTGTACACTTCTATGAATAATTATCCAACTTGAATGCTAAATCCTCCTTCAAAATACGTTCCAAATGCAGAGATCTGAACACAATGGTAACAAATCCGTTCAATAAGGCTATACGAAATTAGAATCGAAATTTCTCAGATTCATCGGTTTTTGTTCCGAAGCTCACCATTGTAATTATTTACTCCAAGACATTAGCAAAGATTGCAATTGTTAAGAGTTATTTCCGGACATATTACCCATTTGTCAGATTTTCTAGACAAGATTTATAGGTATCTAGTGTCTAAACATTTTCCCAACCTACACCAGTAGGAAGGAAGAATAAAAGGTGCGTTAATTTAATTCACCTGAATTAATTAAATTTTTATTGAATTGATATTCAATTCTTTTTTGTGAAATTACTCCACTAGTTTGTTATAATTATTAATACAAAGATTGAACACTCAGAATAAATTATATGAGAAATCTGATCACAAATCACCTGATTTAGTTCACAGAGGTGCGTTAAGTACACTTTTAGTATAAATAAATAAATAACGCACACACTCAACATAGCCCCGCACTAGGGAAACCCTGTGTCGCGGGTGCCATGGACACACATATAGACAACCACAAATTACATCCAAACTCACGAGAGAAATAAATGTAGGCCATACAAACATTTCTCCCGGCCCGGGAATCGAACCTGGGACCTCTGCGTGGCAGTCCGGCATGGTAACCGTTCGGCCACGGAGGCAGTAAACTGTATTCACCACGATATTTAAGGACGGCAGGATTCAACTCGTTTCACGGTACAGATATGGTGTTGAAAAACTTCGTGATGAAACTTGCATGTCGAAGAAGGTTCACAATGAAGTCCCCAACCCGCATTGGACTAGCATAGTGTTTCGGTTTTGATGGGTAAGGGTGCTGGTGAAATTACAGGCACATAGAACTTGTCAATTTATCGGAATATCGGGAACATTACTCAGAACACTCATCATACTGTAACCTATTTATACGGCCCACTGCTGTTTAGAGTCTCCTCTCATGCGAGGGTTTAGGCCATAGCTCGCCATGCTAGCGGGTTGGGGACTTCATTGCGAACCTTCTTCGACATACAGGTTTCATTACGAAGTTTTTCAACACTACGGTGTACCGTATAATGAGTTGAATCCTGGCGTCCTTAAATCGACCCCTCCCACGTAAAGTATCGTATGTCAAAATTGCCAAGTTTACAGGGGAGCCTTTTAAAGTTCTGAATTCACTGAAATAAGCATAACACGTGACTTTAGATTTCTCACTTTTATTCGGCAAATCTCGTAACACACGTTGAGTATCATAAAATCCTAGATATCGGTTAGATGATCTATTAGATGATCACTCTATGTGAGTTACAAGCTTTGCCGAATGAAACGGAGAACTTTAAAACACTCCCCTGTAAACTTGGCAATTTCGACATACGATACTTTACGTAGGAGGCGTCGAAATATTGTGGTGAGTACCTACAGTTTACTTTTATGTTTATCTAATGCACCCAGGTGATCTAAGTTACTAAAAGTGTACTTAATGCACCTAGGTGAACTAATTCAGGTGAATTAAGTTAACGCACCCAGAATAAAGGCCTTCAGATATAAGCGCATAGGGAATACCGCCTATATCTGAACAGGCCTTAATTTAGTTTTGCCAAATTTGTTTGGCTGTAGAAATAAGAACATTTTGCCATGTGTAACTCAGGATTATTTTACAATGCCGCGCAATGAAATCGTAGCGATTTTTTGTAACGGAATTGTACATAGCGTAATGGACTTTATCTCGACTGTGGAAATTCCCGAGACCGCGCGAGAATTCTGCGGAAGACGCGCGACCTGTTTTTGTGGCTCGTATCTAGTTTGTACACTTAGAAAAATAACGCATAGAATGATAGTTTCATATCAAACGAACTGTCACAAGTGAGGCAAAAATCAAATTCATGCAGGCTAGTTTTAGTGGTAGATTCATTTTCGGTTTTAGTGAATATTTATATAAAAATACAAGTTGAAACGCGTTACTTCCTTGTGGAATGTGATGTTAGTATCTATTTTATGTTTGTCTGACGTATTTTTACACTCATTTACCGCACATTTCGTCATTTTTAGCTAAAATTCTTGAGCTGTTCACGGTGCAAGTTGACCTTGAGCACTGACGGCCCGCCCGCTCGTGTAGGCCCTTTGGGAGCGCTTCAATTTGACTCACTTAGCGTATGCGGGCTAGGTTTCTATGCGTTATTATTCTAAGTTTGTACATACGTAAAAAAAAATCGCTACCAAATCCATTCCCTGGAAATGTAAATTGCTTTATTGACGAATGAAGAACAAGAAAATATAAATACTGACTAGGACAGAAAAAGGAGTTTTTGTACGATTTGATCATTGAAATCTGTTTTGTTATAGTGAAATAACGGCACGAAGTTCTAGAACGACCATGAAAAGAAACACTTCTCTACTATATGTATGGTTTAATGGTAGCCTTAAAAAGGCCACATCAAACTACACATTGACGGATGTTGTTTCGTTGCACTGGAGGCGATATTCGAACCAAAGCGTATAGCTTGAAGTGCTGTTGACTGTAACAAGAATAAACGAGTGTGTTTGAAAAGACTGATGTGGGTGGAGGATGCAAATGTATTTTAGGTTGATCCAGTCTCTGAAAACCCTAGTGGGAGATGGGTGTGATGGCATTTATATGTATACGTGGAATAATTTGTCAACAGCATGCCAAAATATAGTCCCTACTCTACGAGTAGATTATAGTAGTTTATGTGACTTACATAATGAAAGGCATTAAAATACGAGTGAGGATTTATGAAACTCGCCTGTAAAAATATCTCACGAGTGTTTTTGTGGCTAATTATGCACAGTTACATACACTGCTTTATCTACACACATATTATAAGCTCTCTGTGATGTGTTCAGGAACCGTATATTACGACTGGCGAAATGGCGGCAAATAAAAACTTTTCTCACGCATGTCGCACAACCGTAGTTTTTATTATTTTTTTTTAATTTATTGCTGGCCATGGAAACAAAGTCCTTCAGCCGAAAACATAAAAATAAGTTTTTCTGTAAATATGGCCGCCACAAAGAGGATAGGCAATTTGAGGAGGCGTGCTTGGATTGACTCGGAATTCCTTAGAACGGCCCGATACGGGTATTTTAGTTCAAGATTCGTACAATTTCGCGTTTTAATCTTCGATTAAGGCACAATAGCACTATCCTATTCCACTTTAAACTAGATTTCACAAAATAATTGAAAGTCAAAATAAAAACGACACTTTTCCCTCCAAAAGGTCCAGAGCGAATCTCGTAGTTTTTATTTTTAATTCATAGACAAACTAGAATCGGCCCCAACTATCATATCGTTCGATATCAAGATCCTCTTAAGATATCAAGTAACGTGTGAAATTGTCAAAATTGTTTGTTATTGACATTTCATTTCGATTAAAACTTCATCTCAACAGTTTGTTGAAATCGTTTTGTTTTTCACGGATGGTCGAAATTTGAATGTTAGTAACATCGAATTTGATGTTACTAAGAAGCAATAATAACATTTTCACCATTGACCTACCAACAAATGGACATCGGGTCTAATACAAAAACCACTAAAAAAATGTCCGAAGTTAACCTAGACAAACATAGTGACATGTAACGAAATATAAAAAACTAAAACATTTAATTTAAATTGTAACGTCATTGCAGTACTGCCTAATTTTGCAATAATTTAAGGACCCAAAAACACCAGAGTCAGCTTCAACTAGAAACTTAACAAAATGCACCATAGCTTCTTACTTACTTAGCTTCGACTGAAAAATACTTGAACATAAGAGTAATGGAGTAGCCTTTCTCGTAAATAATTATTAATTTTTATTTTGTACAAATTCACTTAAAGAGTTTAACACGCAGATTAAGCGTGTACTATAAGAAATATACCAATGAACTAACTACTACTAAACGTAAACTCAAATATCCGTGATTCCGAAAACCGATTTATAATAAAACCGTTACGGTTTTAAGTAATTTTGATGCAACAAAACAAAGACTAATTTTGGCTTTGTGAGAGCACAAGGCAAAAGCACAAGACATGAAAATTCGACCTAACGTTATTTCGGGCAAATGTATTTTCTGACTTCTGATGGGTAATCCCAAGCAGTAAAACGAGTACAACAATATTTTGTTAGTTATTGTCAACGTTCAATAAAAAGTCATTTTAAAAATAAGATTAAAATCAACATGACTATAGTTTCTTTGTTCCAAATATTTCAATCGTTTATAGTTCGAACAATTGAAAATGACCAATAAGTTTATATAAGCTTCTTGAAACTGACGTACCTAATGGGTCTCTTTCGATCTTTTCCGCATGCAATGTGTAGAAAAAGGGCAGTTAGCTATTTGATTATTTTGTTTGCTTTTGTAATTTATATTTACGATTAATTTATATATAAATTAAATACTATACAACTGTACAAAATAACACTTTTAAATGATAACTATGATAACACAACATATTTGTTTAGTGAAAATATGACACAAAATCCTGTACCTTACTGCAGTAATTTTTGCAAGTTATTATTATATATATGCATGATTGACCACCGCGCTGTCAGTCGAACAAACGAAGACTGCTGCGCGATTGACGCTCTGTATGCGATTTTAACGCCCTATAGATGCGGACACTTTTTAGCGCGAACCCGACGTCCATTTGTTGGTAGGTCAATGATTTTCACAGATAAATTTTGTTCTAACAAAACAGTTTACCTTTATGCTGGTCGTAATTTGCGGTTTATGAACACATTATAGAGAGCTTATGATATGTGTGTAGATAAAAGTTATTATGCAATGCCGGCTTCACCTATGCGTGGTGCACACGGTGTTAGGACTATTGTTTCCCAACATCATTATTTTTTAATAGCAACAATTGAAGCATTGGGTGTAACAAGGGCGACCACGTAAACGTGAGGTTTGAGAAAATTGAAAATAAGGTTTTAATGTCTTATATTTGTCTTTTTAATATTTATAATATGACTCTTGTATTATTTATTTGTCCTATGATTTAGCTAAAAGTTCAGGTGTTATTATTATTTTAAAACAATTAGAAACATTTGAAATTATTTTTTGTTCTTGTGTTATCCGCCCTTGTTGCACCAAACGGGTAAATTAACGCGGCGTTCGTTTATTGGTTTTTAAGGAAATAAATTGTGAATCAGTCTTGTTTATAAGTTACACTGAAAATAATTTAAACGTATTTTTAACCATTCATCAAATTCGCTGGATTGAAATGAATATACAGGATTCATCTTCAGCAGGTCTGAATGGCCTCCTAGATGCTCTATGTTGCGGATAAAGTCGTTCCTATTAGACATTATTTTACATTTAAATAAGTTTTTACAAACTGCAGGTGGTAACTGTCCGAAATTCAAACGCACATTTATAATCCTTGCAACGAGGGCGG